ACAGCACGTAAACAAAGTCACTCGATGGACCTTCCACTGTATGTGGCGCTTCCCCCATTTGCTCGGCCGTAGGACAATGGTCCTGAAAGATAGCTCTAATTGTCACAAGATACCCTCCCTATCATGGCTTGGCGTACTAAGGCGTTCACTTACTGAGACCGTTGTACAAGCACAGCAACGGTATCGTCTCATCCCGCACAACGATTGTGGGAACCTTTAATGCATCATACTGACCTAGATAACTCACTTTCTGGACTTCTGGGCGTCAGCAAGCAGGCCTGAATGATAAGGCATGGTAGTGATCAACTCGATGTATTTACATGCAGAGATGGAGTCGGAAAGATATTTGTGACACCTTCGAGAAAAGATTTGTCAATGTGTTATGGGTGCCGAATACCGTGCAAATACGTGACCTTTCAACTGTTTAAGTGTAGTCAGCGAGCTAAATAACGAACGAAAGCTTCAAATCTCAAGGTCAGCCCATTCTTTGTGGAACTCGCATGGCTGTTCTCAATTGTTACTAACACCTAAAAGCCAAATGTGAAGAGATCAACGGGTACCACCATATCTCTTCGTTGCACTTCTTGCGGAACGAGACAAAAATCGAAACTTGTAGGTTTTCCACAGATCACGCATATGCTACTATTCGTCTACACTGCGACGAGCACGCGGATTGATTCAACGCCAGGTCTTTCAAATTTTAAACTAAGTATTCTCATCTATGCTAGTGCATTAAATTCGTACGGACTGACACTTCCAACTTCTTCTGCCGGCCTTTTTCGTGCTCATTTAACCACGGAGCGAACCTTACAAGCGATATCACACTCCCAGGCTGCCATCGTCGGACTGCAGCTTTTTCTGTTGCTTGCTGTGGCCCACTTTTGGATACATAAATCACTGTAGGTCCGATATGATCAGTGCCAGATTAACTGATTTGTTCTTGTCTACAGCACAAGAAGGTTGATATGTATTTGTCGAAAGGCTTAACAATAGGGGTAAAACTTCTTCGGTTTCGGCTGCGACCATTACAGTCACGGTCCTCTTCGCAAGAAAATGGTACTTTGACGTCGCCGCGGACTATTAATGTCGTTGTCACACACGAAAACAGTATAGTTCACGACCATAGCTTGTCTGCAATAAATTGTCGCTCCCAAGTATTTCCGTCGGAAAACGGTCCGTCAAACTCTTCTTCCACGCAATATGGCTCTCTCTATGGTTACCCTGAATATTTCACACATACAGGCTTAAGTGCCTACCTTCAGCACTACACAAACTGACGATACGATGCGAAGAAGCTAAAATTTCCGGATCAGGGCAACGTCATCCGACCGCGCAATTGAGTCAATCCATACAACGTTCCTGATGACCAGTCCATCGACTAGCCCTTCCCGTTCACGCATGTGGAGCAGCTTCCGATTGTAGCCGTTAGCACAACACTCTACTTCAAATCGACTCCAGCCTGCATTGCGTATCATATTTTAAGTCGATGCGTCATCGTTGTGTAAGTCGAAAAGCTCCAAGGTTTGGCCGATGCGTGCAATTACAAATACGCAAAGGATCTTTTTGAACACAATTGTCTCATTAACACAAGAACAAATGTTACTGCTTATAGTAAACCATCTCAACAGCTGCACACAGCTATGCGTCAGGTACCACCCATAGCACTGTTGTTGACCAGATTAGTGAGCTTGACATGTAAGTGTAAAGGCGCCAGGCCGTGTGCTCGCCAACTCTACATAATGGGCTAAAAGGCAGACAGCCCCGCACAATGAAACATCTGAACAAGAAACTTGGGTATCTCACTTTGATTATTGTATCGTGCCAATTGTGTTAGCTGTCCGACTTATGAGACCTCGTCCATTACCTGAGGTCTCGTACAGCTTTGTTTTTCCATCCAAGATTACCTCTGCGTCCCGACATGGTACGATACCATTTGATAATCAATGATCAGCCGTTTCTTAGCGTGGTCATCAGTCGTTTAAAATCGTGCTTTCGTCGGCTGATGCCGGCTTAACGTGGTCATCAGCCGTTTATTATCGTGCTTTTGTCAGCTGATGCCGGCTTTTCATGACATGGTAAACAGCACCCGTAAAGCCAGCACAGTTGCGGTAAGCAGCAGCCGGTCGGGTCAATTCATCTGGCATAGAGCAAGCAACTGTTTTGTACGTTCAGAATGTGAACCGATCGATCTGCTGTATGTACACTTGTAGAAATAACACGCGCCGTGATTCTTGCCAGGGCAATTCGTGCACATTTCGTTTACCGTAGTGACGTACCTTCCGTGCATATTACCAGAGCAGCCATTACTAAATGAAGAGGATGGAAGCTTTAGTATATGTTGCCGCACTCGTGACTCCTTCGTATGCCTTGCAAGTCAGTGTTTGCGGCGACGCCACATACGACTTACCTAAAGACCGAGGCGTACTCTGCGCGTCGACCGACACCACTTTTTCAGGGACAGCTTGTCCGCTGAAAGGAGACAAAGCAAGCACTGATTGCTTCGAGAAATTGTTTTCTTACAACGGCAGTGCCTGTGTGGCGCCAGAAGACGCCGCGTGCGCTCTAGTGACCGACACTACGTGGGGCTGCGTCTTTCCGTCGGTAGTATGTGGCGGCAAAGTACTTACAACGGTAGCCCAAGAAGTACTTGTGGATCAATGTGAGACTTGGAATTATGACGAGGGTTGCTTGTCGTCAAGCATCGATGCCGGAACAGTCGTCGACGGAAGCACTGATTGCGATGCAACCTGGTTCGTGCAAGATACGAAATTGAAGGTGTTGAGTGCGTGTGGCACCAGCGAATACACGGCGGTGCCAACATTAGAGCCTACATTGCCACCAATTCCTAAAAGAGCTGACTTATGGATCCCCGAACCAACACCAGCTTCAACACCAGCGCCAACTTTTAATCATCGATCGATTTCTGAGCGAACGCCAGCACCGACGTCGCTGACTAACGACTTTTTGTCAACGAACGTTGGGAGGTCAGGGTCCGAAGATCCGCCGACTTCACATACCACCGATGAGGTACCAGAGCCTGTGCATTGGACACAGGAGGCGGCTTAGCAACTGGTGCGACAGGATTTTCGGAGCGAGACGACACCCTCCAGTCACAGTCACCACAGATGCGTGATCGGATATAACAAACGACATCGTGCATGGAGACGACCGACTGGCACGGCGGATTCAGTGACGATTTTGTCAGTGGAGCTGCAAGCTGTATAGCCTGAAAGAGCAGGACCAAAGTTGAGACGCTGATGCCTCGTTAGTAGTAGCAGGTGAAGTTGCGGTTGTCAAAGAAACAAGTCGGACCTGTTTACACGAAGCCGCGGGATGAACATAGATTGAATAGGCAAAATCGTGACGCTTTTGCACTTTAGATAGTCAAAGAGGCTGCTCGCACTTCGTACGTTAATGGTACTAGTATACCCTTGGGACTGTGCTTTGAGTTAAAACAACAATGCTCTAAGCGAAATGTAATATAGACGAAAAAGGGGACACTATAGCATTTGTCTGGATTCAAGAGATCAACTTCTTTCACAGTATAATGCGTATAGCAATCGCCTCTGTTGTTCGATCTCTAGTTGCTACGTTGTACAACGCCTACCACACTGGCATTTGTAAAAAAAATTGCACGACGACGAGATTAAGCTTGTTACATATCTGACACCAAAAGTAGTTGGCAGCAGGACCTTTTGCGTACGCCAACAAATTTACAGAGTCACTGGCTGATCAATCTATCATTTACTCTATGAGAGGATGTAGAAATATTAAGCTGACCTCGGAGCTACCACTACGTACTTCCACATCTGAATTCGCTTTAAATATCCTTACACTCTGACCATCTATCGTAATTCAACCAAAGGAGCGCCCCCTTGCTATACCTTGTCGTACGTACCACGATCTTTCGTACTTGCATAATCTAGCCGATGCAATATAATGGCAACTCTGCCATCACCTGACGATAAAACGCGGTCAACATGCGCAACCGTCTAGAGTTCGTTTCCGAATTGACTGCGATTAAGGTAAGGCATAATGACTTGTGCTTTGGAGTTCCCAAAGCGACGCATCCATGTAAGTTATGCAAGGTGTAGTGTGTGGCATTGGTCGAATGACAATGTGAATGCAGCGAAAGCATGTTGCAAGTGCCAATCATGATCTTTTTGTGTCAGACGTACAAGAAAAGCGAGTATCAAGCACCACCTTGGAGTCGTGCTATATCCTCCTGATCGAATGTGCCTTGTCCTTCAATGTGGCAATTCAGCCTCACGTTCCCGTTTCCAATATGCACATGTTTTCCGTAACGTACTACGAGCGAAATCGTGGCCATTCTGCAGTAGCACAGTGAACGTAGGTGTAATCAGCAGTTGTTTAGCTTTCATGTCCATGGTTCAAAAGCTGCTACATTCAGAAAATGCCACACTCTTCGCCGTACACGAGTGTGATGATCGCGTCGGTCACCATGTCAGGAGTCTACGTAGGACTTGCTCGGCGTCGTGTTGAATGGACGTACGTGAGCAAAATCATGTCGGTCCCCGCAATATCAGCATAATCATTCCACCGCTTGATTATCTGGACGGAGCGTTGGCTCTGGAATGACATGCACATCGAAAGACGTTGCTGGACTACGAGATATTGTGCTTGCGTGAAACTCGGCAAACTGTTCGACAAGCAGCCAAACAACGGAACAAAGAACGCTTCGAGTTTATTTTCTATGCCGTGCACACACATACATTGCATCCGCCTGATCGAAGGTGTTTGATTGCCATTACCCCTCATGTAACGTCATGCTGGTGCCCGCGAAGCGGTACTAAAGGTCTTGCCAAAATCACGTGGCGGCAAATAGCACTACAGGCTCAGCACAAGAGTTCGCTGGCGACAAGAGACATTCAGCAACGATGTACGGAAAATGCAGTATCACGTCCTTGTTGCCGTTTTTTGCTTTCATCCCTCTTTTTGTATTGACTTGACACACTTCGGCTGTCACTGCACAACGGCGTTCACATGTGCTGTCGCTCGGTACGGATGTAAACAACGACGCCGAGAGCGATCATCAATACAAAGATAAAGAAATTGTCAGACTGAAAGAGCTCGCCGAATGTGACACGCCAAATCGTGTCCATGCTCAACGTCACGTCACCTGACCACCACTTCTTCAACCAAGAGAGCAGAGCAGAACCAGTGCCCACTTCTGTGTCGGCAACGTTTTGATTGATGCTGGCCGCGATATCGGATGAAGCAGATGGATACGACCCGTTCTCGGTCGACAGCTGGACATCACCTACCAGCTCATTCCACCATCTTTTCCATGACCAGAAATACTTGTGAACTCGCAATTTCCATAGTGCGAGCGCTACTGGTACGTTGGCATCGCTGTGAGCGACACGCGCCTTGTCAAAGTAGCGCTTGGCCAGATAGAAATCTCGGTCCACGCCAATTCCGTGCTCGTACATCACCGCAAGATTGAACGTGGCTTCTGCATTGGACCGCTTGCTCGCAAGGGAATAGTGCGCACTAGCCTTAGCAAAGTCCACCGGATTGCCTCCTTTACCATAGTAAAAGTAATCGCCAATCTTCAAGTCTGCGTCCACATTGCCCTGCTGTGCCGCCAGCCTGTACAGCTTCAGTGCGGTTGAAGCCACGACCTCTGCTTCGAGTACAAGGCTTGAAGACGCTAACGACAGCATTGGCGAAGACGGAGACAAGAAGCCATTGTCCAACAGGTACGCAGCGTTATGCTGAGCGACCTCGTAGCCTTGCTGTACCAACACAGCGTACTTCATAAAAGCCGCTTCGTAGTCTTGGCGCTCGTAATCTTTATAAGCCTGTGCGAGCACACGTTCCCCTTCTCCACGCTCGGCCACCAATTTGAATGAATCGACTGCAGTCTTGCACGAGCGGGTGGTACCGATTCCATGCAGCTTCATGTGACCAACCTTTTGACTCGCGATAGTGTGGCCTCGATGCGCAGCTACCTGAAAGAAACCATAGGCAACCTCGTATTCGGGGTGATCCAGTGCTAGTGAGATGCCCATCGCACTCTCACCCCGCATATGCAGCACACCCAAGTTGTAAAATGCCTCCATGTTGCCTTGCTTTGCTGCAGCCTTGAAGAGCTCCACCGCTCGTAGCTCGTTCACTTCAACGCCTTTTCCAACCAAATGCATGTGCGCCAACTCATTCTGCGCTGCAGCAATGCCCTCAGTCACTGCCTCTTGCAGATACTTAGCCGCCGTGACATTGTCCTGTTTAACACCAATACCATAGCTGTATATGTGTCCGAGGCGGTACGCGCCTTCACTAGATCCCAGATCATAAGCCTTCTGAAAAAGGAGAGCTGCACGCTCCAAATCTTGTGTCAATCCACGCACGCCGTAGTAGTACAACGTTGCCAAACTCAGTGTAGAATCAGGATCGCCTTTTTCCGCCGAAAAGCGATAGTAGTCGACAATCGCGCTGTCACCCGGCGGGTTCTTCTTGTGCTGCTCCTCTGCCATGGTCTTGAGTCGGCGCTGTGGCAGGTCGTACATGACCGGGAGACTCACGTTCCGTTCCCGTCTCGCCACTGCGTCATCAGCTGCCACTTCATAGTACCGCACGGCAGACTCGCACTTCTTAGGGGCACCATGGCCCGTGTCGTGTTTGTAGCCCAGCGCCATAGCCGCGCCCGTGTCCCCACCGAGAGCAGCAAAGTAATAGCGCGTCATGGCAGCAGCTTCGTCCAATGGGAAGCCCCAGAGTCCGTAGCTCAGCGCCACGCCCACGTGGAATTGCGCTCGCGGCGCGCCCAGATCCGCTGCTTCGGCGTACAGCCGCATGGCCAGCGAGCCGTTCACGCGCGTGTCGAGCGAGCGGTTGCCGTAGAAGTACATGTCCCCCAGCTGCACGAGAGCGTGACGACGGTCGACGGAAGACACGAGCGGCGAGAGCGCAGCGTCGCTGAGGTCCCGTACGACGGCGTTCTCGGTCTGGACACGGCGAAGAGCGTCGGCGAGGCGGGAGGACGGTGCAATGGCATCTACAGTCAGATATAGAGAGAGATCATTAGAGAGAGAGAAGGAGAGATGGAGGGGGAGAGGGGGGAGGCTTGACATCGTACCGGATGGACGGGACCGGGCGACGTCGGAGCTAAAAGCGGGGGCAGTGAAGAGAGCGGTGGCGAACGTGGCGGCTGCTAGCGAGCGGATAAAGGACCAGCGCATGGGGACGACCGCGAGGACGAGGATGGTGCGAAAATGAGAAGGCAGAGAGTTCGCTGGTTGATGGGGATGAGAGGAGGGGGTGACGGTGTGAATCGGTTTGCAGAGGTATTTCATTTGTGCGATTGGTTTAGATCGGAAGCTTCGTGTTCATGTGTGATAAGTTGGCGAGTGCTACCGCGGGGTATGATTTGCTGCAGGTGCTTGAATCGACGGACCACGTCAGCCTCCACACGAAGCACTTGTATTGTAAATACAGCAGCTAGTGGAAGCTTAATTGCGTTTAGTCCATTACAAATCAGAGAGTTGGGACGACACGTCTGATCGGCATAGTCATGCCAGGTCTTGTCGAGACTGCTAACGAACACTCCTCAACGTGCATAGGAGCTAAACTGCAAGCGCTGCTTCCTTAATAAAAAGAAGCTCTTGCGGTGTATTGAAATCGTCGCCCAGCATACTCTTAGGACAATGAAGGAGGAATTTCGTCGCGGTGGGGCAGACAACGTGCCAAAGCTTTGATGTCCAGCGTCTCTATGATGTTTGGCAACAAAGTTAGCGGCGGCGCGTGCTTCATCGCAGTTAATGCTGCTGACGTTGTTACAGTATGACGTCGTTACAGTACGACGTCGTAGTGCTTACGGACAGTGCTGTTACAGCAGCTTTAAATTTTCAAAGTGTAACATTTGCACGTGAAAAAGCTCGTGATTAAGGATAGAGATGCTCGTCCATATGGCTCAGTGCACCATTGCAATGTCGCTTTGACTGCAATTCGGCGCTCTCGTTGTAAATTAGCTAAAGTTGCCGCGCCATCGTATGCTTGGTTGCGTGATGCCTAAGTAAAGTCCGTGTCTTCGGTCGTGTGTGCCCATGTTAAATGCAGACATTTCATCTACGGCACGACTTGTCCTAAAGATTGAGGTCACCATCGGTGGCGGCGATCAAATGTAGTAGGTTCATAGCGCAGATACTCTTGCCATCCCAATACGATGTCATATTCAGCAACGAAGGCGTCGTGTAGTCGAATGCGTGGCGTAGTGGAATACAACAAGCTCTTTTTTCCACATGCGCCGAGTGCCTTAACAAGACGCGTCGAATTTGAAAGAATCCTGCGGGCTAAATCCTCATTCATCAGGGGCACACTGGCTTGATTGGGTTCTGCAGCAGTCCTGTGTTCCAGTACTTGTAGCAGGTCGATAATGAGCACATCTGCTTCGTACTTGCCAAGACCATGGTCGTGACACCTTGGCGACTATTCTTTCGAAAAATGCAGGATAGAAACACAGGTCGTGGCCGGCCTTGCCCGACATGCTAACGTTCATTAATCGACGTTTCGTTCGGCAAAGGAGGGCGTACGTCTCTTTCACACTGTGGAGAACACGACCACGTTGATACAACAATGGTGAACGAGGTTCCGAACTTCCACCAGCCCGTGAGCTGGGTGCCAATGTGGGTTAAAGAAGCGCGTCAATAATTCGCTTTGCACCGCATGTGTCCACATGCATCCTGCTATTTAGCACGTAAGCTTATTACCCGGTTCCCAGCTTTCTACATCAGATGTCTAAGACGCGGAAGGAGGTATGCCACGAAAGAGCTCTACAAAGCTCACTAAAGCAAAATTGACGCATGCAAGAACCAGATTAGCCAACCACCTTTCTTAGGCTGCACTCAATTGTAGCAGAGACCGACCCTTCCACGCATGGCGACGTTTCTCGTCTTGCGCTTTTTAGCTTCAGCATCAGCTTGATCGCAATCGATATAAGAGATGTATTGCACAATGCCGATAGCGCCATCGTGTGGAATTGGCGGGGGCTCCCCAACTGCGTCTAACGTTGCGGGATGCGGCAAGCCAAGCTTGTCAGTTCGTTGGACGAAAATCCAGGCACTTAAGGTGTCAAACTCGACCTTGTTGGGAGCTGACGAAGTGTGCTACTGACGTGCAGGCTTGAAAGTACAGTCAAGTGCCGAGCCCATTAAGCTGGGATTGATCGCGTATTAGACCCGATGGATCTGATCAAATGCCTAGTCCGAAACAGACAGAAGGATCATCCACTTGCGAGCATTACAACGGAACTTTCATACTCTTACATGCGCGCGGCTCTCGCGATGCATCAAATATACAGCGACGTCTATTGTAGCACTCGACACGTACACTGCAGCTGTTCTGCTAGCATATAGACGACATGCACACTGCACAAACACTATCCGACTGACAACGCATCTCATTCCTCCAAAGTGGCATCGACCACGCAATCAAATACAAGTCTCCCATTATCCGACTGACAACGCATCTCATTCCTCCAAAGTGGCATCGACCACGCAATCAAATACAAGTCTCCCATTGCCCTTCTCCATTTGCCATGCGTTTCCAGTGTCCAGCCACTTGCGCTCGACAAACCAAACAGATCTGACTCAAATTCGTGCTGAGATCTCTTGACCAAACTAAAGCTATAGAAGCTGCTTCGAGATCGCTCGTCAAAGTGTCAACCTTCCAGTATCCGCCAAAGGTCTTACTCCAGCCATACCTTGTGAGCTCCAACGATCGCGCTCGTCCCCATCAGCAGCTGATCTGCCTCGTCGCTTATCTTACAATTCCCAGATGAAACACTGCGCTCTGAACTTCGTCTCGACCGAACGACATCGAAAACCACGCGACCAAACGGATTGATAAAAACGCACCCGTCGTCGTGCCAGCTCCGTCGTGTCTCTCCATCAATCGACGTCCGTTTCTCTGCATTTGGCACTCTACAGACTCGAGCGGTAGTTCTCGTCATGGCAGCCGCAGCAGCAGAGACAGCGGTGAACGCGCTCAAGAAGCTCGAGGCCAACAAAACGTGCGTCAACTGCGGCGCGTACAACCGCTTCGGGCACCAAAATGTCTGCGAGAAGGTGCGCGCGTTCGTGTGCAGCACCTGCAAGAGCGCGCACCAGAGCTTCAGCATGCGCGTCAAGAGCGTGAGTATGAGCAACTGGACAATGGACGAGGTGGACGCTTTGCGCGAAGCGAATGGCGGCGGGAACGTCGTGGCGGCCCAGGTTTGGTTGGGCCGCTGGGACGAGGCGCAGCTGCGCAAACCGACGAAGGACGACCCGTTAGAGTACTACAAGCACTTTATCGATCGCGTGTACAATGCCAAAGAGTTCTACGAGGCCAAGGGGGAGAGGGGGGCGACGGCAGCCGCAGCAGCCGCAAGTAGTCGGACAGGTACGACAAGTGGCCACCAGTCAGCTGCAGTGCCGGATCTACTGGACTTGGACCCTCCAGCAGAAGGGGAGGCGTCCACCGCAGCAACGTCGAACACTTGTAGTAGCCTTGAGAAGGAGGAATGGGGCAGCTTTGAAGCAGCGGTTCTTCCGAGTAGATCTGCGGACGTGGAATTTGGAGCGTACGCATCGGCTTCTGTACCGACGCTGACGTCCGGAAGCGACGAGTTTGCAGACTTTAGCACTGCATCTGGACCTGCATCTGTATTGGCTCACACGGAGGTCTTCGGAGCCTTTGCATCGGCTGTTCCGGCACCGACTTCGATGTCGTTTGATCCGTTTGCGGGTTCAAATGTGGTGATTGCATCCAACGCTCCGGTGTCGGCTAGCGTGACTTCACTTGATCCGGGCGCCTTTGCACCTACAAGCCAGGGTCAGCAGTCGGTGGCAATTGCTGCAGCTCCTGTGTCTGTATTGAAGGATTTCAGCGTCTTTGACGGACTCGCGGCTGCCACTTTCCAGCGCGATGGTCGAGATCGAGTTCGTGCTGAATGGGAAAGGCACGACTGCAGTCAGCCGCAGCATCAAACGCGCGTGGGTTTCGACAAGCAGCAACGAATGGGTACGCCGCAGCCTTCTGGGAGCCATCCGCAGCAACAGCAGCACCTGATGGCGGGATGTGGCAATGCTGGCATGAACCCCATCAGCATGTACTTTTCGCCTATGATACCTGGTGCATTCAGCGGCAGTTCGAGTCGCGACTTGCAGGGCAGTAGTAGGGACCCGTTTGCAGGCCTCGGACTGTAATTGGGAACGACAGTGTCATGCAAGCTGCAATTTGTCTGTTTATCTTCACGTGGACGTGCCGGTACGTTGTTGAGCACTCTCAGTGTCCGAAGCATCGCACGTGGATGCACCAAACAAAACGACGGCTAAATGTCCGCTACGCGCTGTTCTCCAGCCATTCAGCCAGTTAAAAGAACCATTCCAGCTCCATCCCTCTGCTTACCCGCTCGGACGATCAACTAGAGCCAGACAGAAAGACTCAAACTCAGATAGAAAAAAGGCAAGAGACGACCACATGAACTAGGACATTGCAAGCACTCCAGCGTGCCTCCGGCTGCTCGATGCGTCCATGTGCCTACGTCGAGGCTCCCACCGCGACCGCGCCATTGTTCTCCGTCCCTTCTGCTTCTTTGCTGGCCCCCGCCGGAATCAGTTTCCTCTGAGGCGGCATGAGTCGCTTGATCACCGCCGAAGTGGCGGTCCCAAACATGGGGCGGAAATGGCCATAGAAAAACGCCACGAACGGCACGTTCGTCAGCACCGAGTAAAAGTCATAGTGGTCCGTGTGCGAGGCGATGCGCCCGTTCTTGAGCTCGAGCACGGAAAAGACCCGCAGCACAATCTTCATCAGACTGGGCACGGGTTTGAGCCGGTAGACCATCGAGCTGTCGATCGTGAGCACCGAGGCGCCGGCCATGGACCCGCGCACGAGCGTCGCTTTGCTCGACTTGATGAATGTAGACAGGACGCGAAACTGCGCTTGGATGTTGTCCACTCCTTGCACAGACACGACGGGGTCCGTGAACACGGCGTCGGGCAGGTAGTGCTTGGCGATGGTGGCGTCTCGGTCCGAACTCACGTCGTAGAGGGAGAGCACGCTCTCGGCGAGTTCTTGGGCGTTGCGGTTGGCCATCTTCGGCTCGAGGTTTCAGGTTTCACGTGTCTTAGGAGCGAGCGATGCGGGAGTGAAGAAGAGACAGAGAAGGGGGAGCGGCGAATGGAAGGACTAACGAGAAGTGGGACGCGACTTGGCGGCTGCGTCAACGGCTTGATCGGATTTAGAGTTGCTCAAGCCGCAGATACGGCTGAAAAATATGGCCGAGGTAAAATAGAGCGTGTCTGGATTCACTCCCTCCTCTCTATTTTACTGGACTTCCCTCTTTTGTATTTGTTGTCATCAATCGGACACCCGCATGGGTGAGAATCCCAGACAGCGATTTGAGTGATGAAAGCGCCTTCTACATAAATTGAAAGATCCGTCGTCTGGTCATGGACACGACTACTGAGTGCACTGCTGTCTTTACTTCCCCGAAGAATGCTGCAATCCTTTCGGAGATGTTAGAAATAGGCTAACTTTCTTTTGAGGAAGGCTTTGCAAGGATAGTTTTAGTGTCTTTGTGCTGGTGGTTGCAATTCGCCTCGTTGGTAAAAAGCGCAATCTCAGTGTCGGTCGTACAGAAATGGATGCAACTCGGATGAACTGTCATGTAAGTTGGCCACTAAAGTCAGGTCTCGGCCTTGAATTTTGTATGTGCCCTGCTATGCATGCCCTCGTGGCCTTTTTAGTCGACGCTTAATGATGGCGTCAAGAGGTAGATCGTCTTGTTAATCGAGAGTTATCGTTAACAACCTCGCTGGACTTGATTATTAGATCAAGCTGCCCGATCGATCGCAACGCAATCTACTCCCACGTGCCGGTCAAAACATCGTCCAAGTTACACTGTAGTTTTACTCGATCATTCCTTTTTTAGGATTCAAAAGGGCTTCACAGCGTTCGTTCGAATCTTTTACCCTAATTGGCGATCCATGAAACGAGGCACCCTTTGTTTGGGGTGCCACGAAACTTCACTTACACTAGTACATGCAGAGGAAGCTAATCTACTCAACGACTAAGCTGAGAAAAAAAGGTAAAAAGAGAACTGTATTTAATGTAGTTAAGCTATCAATGTAACTGTAATCTTTATCTGACTATTTTAAACTACGTCGTCGTATGACGACAACCTTCTCACCACTCATTGCGCGCGTCTAGCAGCGATTGGTGGTAATCTATGGTTGATAAGTCTTTCATCTATTAATCTTTGGGCAGCGCATGAATATTATCCATAAGGGGATAACATTCCTTCAAATATCATCCATCTCAGATAATATTGGAAGGATATTGTCATGCTACACAATATCCCTATTGACACCGTTTGGTGTCAATATCATGTAGCGGGCTACCCCGTTACATCACTCCCCCTAACCATCACCCGTTAATTGAAGTGAATTAATATAATTAGGGTGACCACCGTATGATCACTCTGGGAAAGGGAGCACTTGCTGGTCAAATTCCATTCATTTGCTCATCCAACGCATTATTTCCAAAATTACGCGAGCTGCCACTGCAGCAGCAAGAAGAGCGGCTGCACGCATGCGTGCAACCAGAGAAATTCCTTATCACACCTCAGCAGCAGATATTTCGTCGCCTGTTGTTGTGAACAGTCCACGTGGTGAGTCACCACGTTCGACAGGTACATCCGCTGCGTCTGCGGCGGGTACCACGAATCGTAATCCGGATGAGTCTGAATTAGAGCTCATCTATTCTGGTGAGTCGGATGATGTATTCGACCCGAATGCGACACCGCACGCCTCCGGATCCCCCGGGGCGGACACTGCAAGAGCTAAGTTGACTGGATCTTGTCAACGTGGCGGTATCATGTTCGAGATCTTCGGATCGAGCGATTGTTACGACGAATCCTCGCGTCACGCAAGTCCATTTAAAAACGATAGAGCGCTTGAGACTGGTGGTGATGCACCTAAACATCACCGAGAGCGAAGTAACTCGAGGGATCGAGGTGTCACTGGTGTCAGTGCTCACGCTGGCACCAATCAAGAGGCCAAGGACCGAAATGTCCTGCGCCACACATCTCAAGTAGAGTCTCCTTGGATGCCGTCATTCAAGGAGTTGGAACGGTTGGCCGGCATGACTACCGAACGGGATCGAATTCCTTTGTTCGATTGTAGTATGATCTGTCCTTCTAATTCCAGCACGGAAAATATCCGTGCTGAGGAATGGTTCTGCACCGATGCATTCTTCAAACATCGGTGGTACAATTGCAGCCGTGTCCGAGACGGAAAGGCCTTGGTGCAAGGATGATATGCCTTCTTCCACATCATCGAGTGCATTGGCCGTGAGGCCTGTCTCGCAAAACTTGATGCAGCTCGCATCAGGTGTGAGAAGCGTAACCCAGTCGGGGCGCGATACAAGTTGCACCGACTGTCAAGAGAGCCAGGATTACCCTGTTTATCGTAGGGTGATTCGTGTCCAGGTTGCCTGGACAACTCGAACCATGCTCCAAGGGAGGCCTATCTCCCTGATGATCCCTACTGGAGAGCGCACATCTATTCTGAGATGGCCGAAGGGATTGACACTTTGCAATTCCTGTACTCGCGTTCAAGGAGGTCGATTTCCGACGGCCCTTCTTCGAATTCAGATGGTGGGTCTCGTCATACTGCTCGACTAGTCCAAGGACATCAACAATCAGCTGGGCACGAGGCTCCCGGTTGTCCCAGGCGGGTAAATAGCCAGGCCATCGGACGAGGTAACTCGTCCGGACAACATTCACGTCGCGGTGGTTCAAACTATGCTTTACTAAAAAACGTTGACAACCGCCTGAGTCCACCAAAAGATGTGGAGGTGGCGGGAACACCTGATCCGGCTCGACGGTCGAACCAACTTAGGGTTTAAAAGCTAAAGCATGTAAGCGATTCGTTACACGACGACCTGGTTTATGAACGTACTTGACGTTATGAGCTTTATAAAATGTAAAGGATGATTACAATACAGCGCACGATCTTTTGAACGATCGTGACGCGTTCGCGTTCGCGCAACTTGAAAACAAACGTTCTACTTGTTCTCATCGTGACGAGCTCACTGCAGCTCTTCAAGACATCGCTCAACTGCGTGAGCAGGTCACTTTGCTAGTAAACCAGACTGGCTCGTTGAAACGGGACCACTCAAAGGTGGTGTCGGCTCTAGACCGCGGAGGTGCTCTTCGCATCTCGAAACGGGCTCGTACTAATAGTACGGGAAGAGAAGTCCAACGTAAAACATAGGATGCGTACGCATCTTACGGGGCAGTTCAATCGTTTATGCGTTGCCCATTCGGCGCAACACACGAAATGGACCGATATACTTGGGCTGTAATACACTGCTGCCCACGCTTGTCACTTCTTGTTTTGGTATGTTTACTGTAGACAGTAAACTAAGTCTCCTTCAATAAATGAAAGAACATTTGCTCTTCCATGTTTGTCTGCGTTTCCTTACTGTCTGTCTAGTGTATCTGCAATAGAGTCTTGAACTAAGCGGCTTCCGCTTAGCGAGTCAGCAGAAATTACTCTGCGGATTCATCCTTGATAACAGTAGTGTGCATCGTGTGCACTGCTGAAAGAAGGTTGTCTTCACCAGTGAAAGCTTCCTTGCCCTCACTGTGGCAGTCATTGGCGATGCTGAATATACCAGCATCGTCATCATCATCAGCATCGGTATCGATCGCATCGACATCGGCATCCATCACGTCGACACCATTGTCGACGGGTGATGAGCAATAACCAGATCGGTTTTTGTTCGAGCGAGTCCACCCCCCCCCCTTAAACTAAAGTCACACTCTAAGAAGGCGGATAACGTGGATGGCGTAGGCCATTTACTAAGAAAGGTGTATGCGTTGTCGACGCGTGCAACGAGTTGTTGATGGCGAGTTCCGCCATCGGCAAGAACTCACTCCAACTCGTAAACGAGTGGACATACCCTCGAAGTATCTGTTCGAGAAAGCGGTTGACACGTTCCGTCTGACCGTCTGTTTCTGGATGGTCAGAAGTCGACATCTTCAAACATGTTACAAGTGAACGGAACACGGATTGCCAGAACTCCGCTGTGAATCGGGGGTCCCTATCAGACACCAGTTCACGGGGTAACCCTTGAAGTCGGCAATAGTATCGATGAAGACACGAGCACAACGCTGGGATGTGATTGACTCCGGTACAGCAACAAGATGTACCATCTTGCTGAACCATTTAAAAATCAAACACAAGAATACTAGTATTCTTGTGAGCATCTTCAAGAAACCCAAAGACGAAGTCCATCGATACGAATTGCCGACACTCTGCAGGAATCGGAATAGGCTGCAAGGGTGCGCGAGATGAAGGACGAGGCTTCAACCGTTGACAAACTTCGCAAGCGCGAATGTATTTGCGCACAAACTTATACTAGCGGGGCCAGTAGAAATCACTATTTACCGTGAGGTAAGTCTTTCTTCTATCGCGATGCCCACTTGTTGGGGCATCGTGAAACTCATACATGATGCGCAATCGCAAATCATTATGAGCCGGAACGACGACACGAGGTGTGTCGCCGTTGACTGCTGTATAGTACAGCAGTCCATCACGAACAGAATACCGTTCGTTTGAAGAGCAGTATTGAGACGACAAGCTTTTCAAAGCTTGACTGCACGGATTGTACACGTAACCCATCAATCGCAGAAGAGACTCATCTTCTGCATTTGCTTTTCGCACGTCGTCGAGCAGATTCGACGACGGAACACTCACTGATGGTGTTGCAACAGTGAGGAGACCCCTACTGTGGTGTTAAGCAGTCGGCTCGAAATCGGGCCGACGCGAAAGAGCATCAGCGACGACACTAAGTCGTCCTGGTGTGGACTCGACGGAGAAGTTGAACTCCGCGAAGAAAGACAGCCACCTTGCCATTCGTTGAGAGAGGTGTGGACTATTCACGGCCGTGCGTAACGACGCATGGTCGGTATAAATAATGAAGAGTCTATCTCCTAATATATAGACCCGAAACTAAGCCAGTGCATATTTCATGGCAAGGAGCTCCTTATCATGCACTGGTTATTTACGCTCAGCTGCTTGCAGCTGACGCGATTGATAACAGACGACGCCTTTACGTCGTCTGAGTCGTACTGCATTAACGCGTAGCCGATTGCAAAATCGCTGGCGTCACAGACCACATGGAATGGTCTGTCCTGGTCTGCAATCGCCAAGACAGGCGATTGTATCAAGATTGGTTTGATACCTTCGAAGGATTGCTGACCTTCAGCAATCCATGACTACCTCTTGTTTTTTCTTTAGCAGACAAAAGAGATCTACGGCCATCTCGGCATAGTTGCGCGAGTACTTGTGCAAGTACGCCGCCAAGCCAAGGCAATTTCGAAGTTCCTTGACGTCGACTGGCACAAGCCAAGCGCTAATCGCCTTGATCTTTTCCAGATCAGGGCGTACATTCTTTTACCCACAATGCAGCCAAGAAGTGGTATTTTGTTCGCTGCAAATATACACTTCTTGAGTTTCGCGAACAACTTATGTTCTCGCATTAGTGTAAGAACATTCCGAACGTGGATTCTATGAACTTCCACGTCCGTCTTTCCATCCATAGCCCGACTATGGACGAAGACATCGTCGAAGTAACTCGGTGCAAAGTCGCGCACCGATCGCAGCAGATTCGTAACACATCTGTTAAACGTTGCGGGGGCGTTACTTAGCCCATGTGGCTTTACTAGCCACTCCCAGAGCATACCACTGGAGGTGCTCACTGCTGTGTAAGGGATATTCCGTTCACGCATGAGGATCTGATAGAATCCATCCATCAGATCCATGGACGAAAAGATGGTACTCTTTGCCATACCATCTATGATGACATCCTTCCTTGGGATCGGCGTTTGAGCCGGTACCGTTGCAGCGTTCAGTTTGTTGAACGCATGTACAATCCGCCACCCTCCTGTGGACTTTCGCACACAGAAGGTCAGAGAGCTGTGTGGGGATGTTGATTCCCTCACATGACCGGCCGCTAAACGATCGGCAAAGACTTTGTCGATCGCTGTGACCTGTTCACGAGGCAGTAACCACTGCTACATGACACAATACTTCGAAGCGGGTTTCGGTTCGATCTCTAGCCGGGTGCCTTTATCCTCAGGTGACTTGCATGGCAAGGGTTCCGGGAAAACATACCAGATTCCAATTAAATCCTTATACTGAGGATTTGTCTTCAAAAACTCCCAAGAATGAGTCGTGAATCGCTCAATCCGGGTCTTCTCATCGAGGACACTCTCGTCCATCGATCACCTACCGAGGAACCGTTCGTTCTCAGCAAAAACTTGTGCCGACCAAATAGAGTCGACGTATTCGTCCTCTGTTACAAGTACGCAGATCTGCTTGATCTTGTCACTACGCAGATCTTGCAAAAATTCAATTAGATTCTAGCGTTGGAAAGTTGACTACCTCCGAATCTGACTTCAGGGGGCGTCACCAAATCAAGTGTATTAGCGCCTACGCTTATTCCGTCATTCACCAAGACATTAACTGACTCGGTGATTTCTGGGAAAACACATCCGCAGGTGGTTGGGGATCCACACCCTCAACATAACTTTCTCGGAAGTTATCACCCTCGGGAAAGCTAGAGCTTTCTTCTATTACGTGTACTGACTGTGGTTGTACTACCACAGTCACGTCCTCTTCGATCGACTCTCTTTCAGTCGATCGGGCTTGCTCTACGATCGCCTCTCTGATAGTGGATCTCGCTTCAATGTGTTGTTCATCCTAGCAACACTGACCTCTCTTCTCGGATGCATCCTTCTTGGTGTGCATCCGTCTTCCGGTTCACTTAATTTCTTCGAGTGGTGAACCTTCGTCGCAGCCTGTGCCTCTACACAGGTGCCGGATCAGGTTCCACAGTGTAGTGGCCTTCTACACTGTGATCTTGTGCAGTCGTACTAACGACCATACCAAAAGTGAGGCCATCGTGCTCACTCGTAGTACATCCATACGCTTGTGGTAGCTCCAAGACGCTCATCAGATGGCCATCTGATGACCAAAGGCAAGCATATCCACGGATCGATGCTGTTAGCCGATATGTGGCTGGTATCTTTTGAGCCATATAGACTGAGGATGGCATCGAACTTGTCATCCAAATCCAGTACGATGAAGTCACCATCATCGTACTGCTTTCCTTCTAGCGTGTAGTGGATTCCCACTACACGTTTGTTCACTGTAACGGATGCGCCTGTATAGGGGCACACAGTCATCCTCGTTTGAGGGAACTCTCGCTCAACATGGTTGAGCCTATTATCCTCTAGCGACTGACGTCGAAAAAAACTGTTCGATGCCCCATAGTCAACTAGGGCGCGAATCGACATTCCACTTGTCACTTCGATCTTCAAAGCGATGAGGGACTCCTCATCACTAGGGGAATAACACACAACGACTGTGTGTGGGGAACAATCTTCGTTAAGAGGCTTGCAAATTTCTTTGAAGTTGCTAAACAAGCAGGGTGCTCAGCCCCTACTGACTCTGACCGTTTTTTGACGGTCCGACTTGCTTTCGCGGTGTAAGGACATGGTCGGATCCGCGCCTTGGAACTTATCTCGGCCAACGGCGGTCATCAAGTCCTGCCTTCGGACGTGATGTGGTGCTTAAGACACTACACTCATGGGCGTAGTGTATAATCTTCTGACAGCAATGGCATCTTGCAGTTCGCTTGTGACTCAGAGAGCGAGATATCTCGCTCTCGTTATAACAAAGGCCCATTGGTTCGGGACCTCCTGTTTCCTGTCGTCTCGTCGGACGATAGTTTGACCAGTTAGCCTGAGACTGTGTCAGGCTGAACTTTTCTTGTTCCGCGTACGCTATCGCCTTTCCCAGCGTATGGAAGGCCTCTTGGAACTTGTAGGTCTTCACCGGCCCATCTACAAGGCCGTAGGTGACACGTTGATGAGCGTGTGCTCATCAACAGGGTTTTACGTGACGCTACTCGCAAGGTAGAGCAGGTTCTGTGCGTAAGCGTGCACGTCACACTATCCTTGCTTCAGCCTCAAGAGTGCAGAGCGTGCTCTGAACTCGGCTGAGCCCTAAGGCCCAAGTCTTTGCTCGTACTGTCAAATTTGACAGAATGAAGGTGACTTGCATCTCGTCACCCTCGATGTGACGGGTCCTGATGGCATCGTCTAACTCGACAAAATATTTCAAAAGAGAGTCTTCATCGGTTCCCTTGTACCTTGAGATATCAATCTTCAAGGTTTCGGGTCAACGCATGTGCGTCGGCCGCCCACCGACTGATGAGATCCTTGCTGTTGTAGCAATGCTATCTTATGTCGTTCGACGGCAAGTAACCCTTGTGGGAACTTGTTGATAGCATCAAGTTGCTGGTCTCTGCTTAGAGACTCCAACATGCCACTGATGGCAGGTTTGCCCATAAAGCTCACTCATGCGGCCGACTACCTCCCATTATGAGTTACTCAGATGGGAGTAGCCTTCACGTGTGTCGTATAAGCTGTTGTCTTCTACGTCAACATGTTCATGTCGGACGGACAACAAGTAGTCGTTGGACGGATTACGAAGTGCTTCCGGGTGTAACGAGGCACCTTTGTTTGGGGTGCCACGAAACTTCACTTACACTAGTACATACAGAGGATTCTATTCAAATCAACGACTAAGCTGAGAAAAAAAGGTAAAAAGAGAACTGTATTTAATGTAGTTAAGCTATCAATGTAACCGTAATCTTTATCTGACTATTTTAAACTATGTCGTCGTATGACGACAACCTTCTCACCACTCATTGCGCGCGTCTAGCAGCGATTGGTGGTAATCTATGGTTGATAAGTCTTTCATCTATTAATCTTTGAGCAGCGCATGAATATTATCCATAAGGGGATAACATTCCTTCAAATATCATCCATTCCGTATGATATTGGTGGGGAATAGTCATGCTAGACAATGTTCCTATTGACACCGTTTAAGGTCAATATCATGTAGCGGGCTACCCCGTTATAATTTATCAATTGCCTCCTCATATCGATCAAAGCTCGCTTTTAAGGCATCGTCAGCCTGAATATATGAAGGAATAATTAGCATAATGACTGCCCTTGTCGACAACTGCGAGTGTGTGAACGCTGTTGCGCTTAAGAGATACATCAATTGATGACAGAAATTGCTACGAAGTTGAAGTGTGGTATTAATTAAGTAACGGCACCCTTAATTTCCCCTCAGTTTTAGGTAAAATTTCCTCAGTCCAAAACAACGTGCGTGATTGGCTAATTATGATTCAGGAACAGAGGCTGTGGCAATATCACTATCAATTAATTTTAAAAGTCAGTTTTGTCGTAATCCCACACAATCGAACCTTTTTTATAGCAAAAACCTTGTGTGGCGGACGTCATTGTCGGCGTTTCAGCCACAGTAAGCGACGCTCTCAAAATGATCAGATGTGTCTGAGTAATTGAGTGAGTGTGTGTCCATCACATCGAACCAAGGCAAGCAACGATCAGCACCACCGATGCATCAATTCGTTCAAAATTGCAACGAAGATGCGGCTGTTGCATAATGGTGGCTTACAAACACAAAGATGTGGAAGTTTAATCGAACCAACACCTACAAAATTTAACGGAACCGATAATGTTAGATCAAAATATATTTTTTGACCGCATTCTCTAGTACGAGTCGATCGATATTGTAGGCACTTAAACTCGTACTTTATTAAGATTGACCCTTACTTCAACAAGCATGCAGTTTTCTCAGGGCCATTGGCAGCACCAGCAATTGCATTACAGCAAAGAAGAATCTTTCTTGTTGCGGTGCCTTGACATTTTCTTGACAACAGGAGCATCCGTTTAAGCTACACATGCACACTTGTCAAAAGCTCTCTATGCACGACCATCTTTGTGTCTTTCTGCATGCTATTTTGCGGACCTACATGGCACATTAACATATCGGGAACAGCACAATAATTTCGAAATCTACACATTAACGAACAGGACAAATGTCTATAACACGCGCCGCGTGCACGCGGCATGCACGATCTTAATGATCAGGCGGGCGCATAAATATGTCGCGCATTACCTCAACACACACCTTTAGGAAACTGCGAGGAAGCGGAATTACCATCTTCTTTCGCGTGCAGTGAGATTTGGGTGGGCGTCTTCCGACTACCTCATTAATTGGTTGTAGGCTAGTATTATTTGTGTGTTCAGATGCGGTCTCCCTTCTTCTGGCACACACGCACCAAGTGTTGCAAATTAAAGACTGATTTCTATTTAACGAATTCCACAGAAATCTAAATTGTTATTGGCTAAAAGAAAAAGGGGTTAGACGCGCGCTCTCAAGAGACGTTGTTTTTGCAGCGCGCTTACACTGAATAAGCGCTCTGATAATGTAACTCAATGACATCATGTAATGACTTTAAGTAGACTTCATCCGTGTATAACATGCACTTTGTTGTAGGTATGCATTTGCTGAACCTTAACCATATGAAAGGTCTAGTGCGAATCTCACTTACAACCTCTCTCAGACTTGTATATGCCTTTGCACGACAAGTCTCATGCAACGGTTCGATTCCCTTAAACCATACACTTGCATTATATAATAAAATAAGAAGCAGCGTACTACTCAGTTGCGCATAAATCTTTGCATGTTAGCGCGATGTAGATTGCTTGCTGTTGTAGAATCGTCGACCGCTAGAATAAAGAGAGAGAGATTGGGAGCGTCTGTGGATGTAAAAGCGCGGAGTCCGCAAACGTTTTAGGCAAAGCTTGAAAGAATCTTGAGGTAAAGAGCACATAAGAACGTTTGCGGACTATGCTAGAAAAAGTCAAGTAGATGAAGAATACCAGTTGTAGTGATATTCTACCTCAAGGCTTGTCTATAAACTAGCCAATCACGTAGCCTTATATTAAACTAAAGGGATTTTACCAGAAAAGTGAGGGTAGATTGACATTTTTTTAAGCATGCAATCGATGTGTACGATCATGCGAGCTATCCATTCCTGAAAACATTAAACATTATTTTCACGTAGCATTATATATAAAACTGCTATATGTAGTAGACGATACGTGCACTCGTATCGTGATATCCAACTGTCAAACCTTTGCTCTACCGTTTCTATTAACCTCAAACAGACCTTGTCCATACGAGAAGCGTCTGATCGCTAAGCACTGTGAAGTAGAGCAAACGAAGCTTAAAATTGTGCTTCCTCATCAGCCAGGTCCTATAGCTGTGATTGCATCGCTTTCAACAAGTTCGAGCTCCAGTCTTTAAGAGTGCGAACACCTTTTAAATAACGATTAGATATATCATTGTCTCTAGGCTACATTGGAGTACACGGGAATGACTTTAGACCGGAGCCGCAGTTTATAGATGAATGGAGGGTGTCAGCTTTTGCTGCGCAATTGCATATCAACGAGACGCCATATCATCAATTGATATATAGTAGGAGTGTAATAAAAGCAATTTTTGTTGGAGGGTAAATACCAAAGAAAAAGAAAACACAACGAAGTAAAAGCCATTTTGTATACACACAACTTAGTTTTAGCGCACATATCATTGACCCATTGCACACTATGGACATCTACACTCTGGGCTGAACTCAATAATTAAGACAAGGTTGTTTCTTGTCTGCTGATACTTGACGTCGAAATATAAAAACGATTTAAATTTCTGCTGCATTTTGTCTCTATCCATAGCTGGTACTAAATATGCACAATAGCGAATGGTGGTTTATCTTTAGAACGAGGAAACAGGGTTGGGCATTAATGTGTTTCGGCCGCAAATTCCTTAAAACGGTAGACGATGAAAAAGTGGTAGTCTTACGGCGCATTATTGTTCTTGACAGAAGTGTCGCTCTCGATATGTTAAATTATCCAGCTACCTACCGGTAATGTAATATCTTAATGACACATTAGTTTGCTTAACATAAGTATGGGAACTAACAATTGTTCGTAATAATGATTTTTTTCTTCAGTGTATTAGTTATGCTTATTTGGAACATTTACTTGTATCGAAATTGCAGTGGGTTGTTTCTTGTAATTTGCGTCATGAGCATTTTACGCAGCTATATAGTTATACCAAAGCTTTTATTTATGGACGTTTGATAAAACTTACTTAAAACATCATCCTTCAAGTCATATATAAGAAAATTAATTCGATAATGGTAATCACAGATTCGCTTATAAATAAATAGATGTCCAATAAATACTATTCATTAGGGAAAATACAACAAGCCTTTTCGATCACGAATATAAAATAAGGCCCCATGTCCTCGTATACTCAAGTTAACGTGGCACACATATACTGATATGGTTTATTTATGAAGGACTTAATCAATCAAAATCGCTATTCACACGCAATATGCTAATACGTCTGCCATTCTATAACTCTAGAACTTTCCACGCCCAAGTTGCTGTCCGTGGTGTTTAAAATTATTAACAGCTACCAATTGTCAAATTTGCAACGCTCCGCGCACCTCCCTGTCAACCCCGTACAAGCTGCCAGGTTTGAAAGTACTCTTTGTACACAAACCTTCCTCACGCTTCTCAGCCTGAGCCCGGCCTCTTCAGTCCTCCACGCCCCATGCGCGTTTCGGCGTACCCCGTCACGGGGGAACTGCCGCCGCCTGACAGTGAACCGCCCGACCAAGAGGTTGGCGATCGTCGACCCGAGGAGCCGGAGGGCCACTCTCCCAGGGAAAGGTCGATGCCCAGTAGGGGAGGGGTGGATCAACGGCCTGTCCTTTCGGAGGGAGATAACATGAGACCCTCGTCTGCCTCGTCTGTAAATCTCGGCGACACAGCCGTTCCTGAGAGTGTCTCTACCGATTCGATGCCTGTTCCCTGTCAACCGTCGCCTAAGGCTGAGCAGGGAATCAAAACGGAGCCGGTCCCTTCCCAACCGTCGCTAAATTACAAGCCGGAAGCCTGTTCACCGCCTGTCCCAGGAGACCCGTCGATTGACACTACGACGCGTGATGGAACTCCGGACGGTTCGCCCTCAGTCGTCCGGCCGCAAGAAATGTACGTGGCGTTTGGAGAGGCTCGACGAATGGCGATAAATGACCCTGAATGTGACAAATGGCTTACGACGCTAGCCGAGCTATTCACGATAGTCCACGACTCCGTCAAAATTGATGAGAAGCTAGTCCCTCCGGGAAAGAAGCGTTTTCCAATATTACGACGTGAAGAATAGGTCACACTTTTCCAATTATTCGAGGCCGCGTGTGTGAGCTGTGATGCCACGTACGCGGCATGGGCAGCATACACCACAAAAGTGACCCAAACACTTTACAACACTGATTAAACCTTCCTACCTATTGTGCAGAGCGTGATCAGTAAGGTCAAATGGGCTAGGCTGAAGCCGATGAAATAGTGGGCAACGTCCCTCAAGACGGACCGTGGAGCCACGGAGGGAGGGGAAGACTTCCACAATCACCGTGACACTTACAAAGTCGTCTTGTTCAATCCGGCGGTCTACAACTCGCAGGACATTGGGACGATACGGACGCTGTGTCTGCAGCCAGCAACCTCCAAGAGCAGTGTCCAGCTTCGTGACGGCACACTAGATGAGTGGAGGATTATCAGCAGGCTAGCGGAGGGAAGCATCGTATGCAGGCGCCTGCTGGTGTTTATAAGTAGCGTTCTGGATTCGAAGGAACGCGTCCGACTTGCCCGGACTATTCGAACTCAGGTGGAGGGTGAACTCGTGTTGCACCTGCGTAGCGGGAAAAACACTCGTCTGTGTCGACAGACCACAAGTGCTATCAAGGCAGACATATTGCTGGCTGCGGAACGATTGCTATTGGACCAGGAAGTTCTTTGGCGTTTTCTTAATGTTGCTATGACGATAAGCTATAACCCCCTTCAACGCTGCATTCGCTTTAATTTTTGGACCGTATCACGGCCCGGAATTTCGAGTTGGTATCCGTGCCGTTTCGGAACGAGGTCTACCGTGTGATAAACATGCACTTCCTTCCAAGGGGTCGGTTTGGACCCGTCAACTCAGCCGTGATGGAACGCGTCTGGCTAGTGAGCGGGAATATGCAGTGGAGCTACATAACGTCACCCTTTACACGGATATTGGCCGGCTGACTGCTTATTTCAAGGAGCATATTGCTGCAGACTTTGATTTGGAGGTTATAGACACGTGTACACCCAATTCCCGAATCTCTACTGTGTGGCGCCTGACAGTCAGGATGGCAGGCTGTACTGTATTTTGCGCGGAATCGTACACCTTATTTAATTTGGCGGACCTATCATTCTTAACCACCCAGATGTTGGGCGTCGTCTACAATGTCTCTATTGTGGGGACTCGGGTCACACCATGGCGAGATGTTCGTAGAAGGCGGAAAAACTTTCCGGACCCGGCAGCAGGGTTGCAACGGACCGCAAAATTCCCAGTCTAGAGGATTTGGCCACGCCATTTAGCAGTTTGGATAAACTTAAAAAGGCTGCTGCGACCAGGTTGAAACTACAGCAGGACCAGGACAAAAGGAGGCAGGCGGTCGTGGAACCTACCTCGTCCGTGTCAGGTACACCCAACACACCCAAAACCACGATAACTAGCGCTGGCACTTCACAAAATCCCTCGGCTGTCCGTGGGACTACACCAGTGCCCAAGAGGAAATGGGTGACAGTCCCTATCCGCAGGGGTAAGAAGCTCGAAATCCGTACAAAGACACCTGCAACGCGTCATACAATGGCATCATCGTTTTACGCAGGTCTCGCTGAGTGGCCTGAGGAAAAAGATGTTTGTCTACCGACCGGGACACCCACCCCACCTGTCGCGGACACAGTTTACCTCACGGCTGAGACCTTCACCAAGCCGGTCGAGGTATCCCAGACTTTGGCGTCCAAGAAGAAATTGTTGCATGTCCGTTCATCAAAACTACCTAGCCGGCGACCGACATCTCAGCTTGTTACGCAAGCAGCGAGAGCGAGATACGTTACGCAAGATATTTGCAGATGGTAATTTGTAGCATGGGGCTCTTGCTACCGGTGGAGACTTTTGTGGAATGCGATAGCCACGATTTACCCGCTATTAAACGGGCCCTTGGCATAATATTAGTCATAACCCCCGCTACAGGTAATTGTCTGGAGATGGCGATTGCGCAAGCGGCGGCGGACCATGATCTGGTTGCCCAAGACACTATTTTGGAGAACAGTACCGCTTGTAATAAGCGTGGCGTCCGTTGGACGATTTTATTAAATTTTGACGAACAATTTACCCACTCTGACCGCACGGGAACGTTTATAAATGTGTCGCGGGGCTGGGAAGGAATGGACGCTAGGAGTTCCTCGAAACAATTTTTAGTGGTACCTACATAAATATTCTGCGACACCACCAACCCGGCTAGCAATAATTAAGAAGCATGATTGGGGAAGTTGCGAGATTTTATCGATAGCGGCAAAATAACTGCAGCGTCAGATATTTGTACTCGCACTCAGAACGGATGACCTCAATTTCTGGGCCTGCTCCCTGTATCGTCCTAGCACGATTACAAGGGGAGCCAAAATTTTCGAGACTGGACAACACGTACCATTGGAGATTAGCCAGTGCGCGCACGCGATCGCAGTAGCTAAATCTACGGACAAGAACCTACCTCTTGTTTTGAGATTCCGGGGAGATAATTACTCGGCTTACGTTCATACCGGGTCTCTAAGTGTTGATTCGTTCTCTCTTCTCGACGAGACAAAAATGGACCCCACGGAGTCGCAACATTCGGGGGGGGGCAAGGACGTCGTTATGCAGACTACCGAGTACCCGCTTTCCACAGAGGTCACTATCGACCCTTTGTCGATTGGTCATCCAAGCGCCAACAAGTCCCAACTGGCGTTGCTTCTCTCTGCTTGGGACTCCTATGAGCAACCGATTGCTCAAAAGAGGGCGCACTCGACTACTCCTGCCATAGGGGAAAAAATTCGACAAATTATGCGGGCTAAGCTAGCGGTAGATGTTCAAGATGGGGAGGCTGTTATGCAAGACTTCCCACACTGCATCGGGTCAGCGGATCTCATGGCCCCAAGAGCGAACTGGCCGGATCTCTGGCGTAAACATGGGAATGCTTGGCCGACTTCGGCTACGGACGCATTTCCCCACATGCACAGTAGCACAGACGAGTGAGTTCAGGTGTCGCAGCGGGAGCGGCGGGTGCTTCTTTCCTTACTGCAAAGCTTCCCCTATCCTGAGGAGATCCTCCAAGCTATCGACGACCAGGTTTTTGAGAGCTGGACAGCCGCCTGAAGACGTAGCTGTGTCCAAGCACACTTGATTTCCTGTCGCTCAAGGATGACCCATCCTGCGACGCGCCAGTGGTTGGATGCATGGGGAGTCAAGCTCACAAGGCCAGCCCCATATCCTTTGCCGGCTCTTACCGACAGCCGCGACGACTGGATACGCCTCCGCGCTTATGATTATGGCAACGACCCGATCTTGAAACTATATGACGTGAACTACAAAAGTCGCTCAGGCAAGCATATTATTTGCGACGGACTGAAAGAGAAAGAAATACAAGTTCTACTTGGTCAAGAGGATTGGACGGATAACGGGGCTGTGCACCGTCTAGACCGTCACCTTCAGGCTCTTAAAAACAGTGGGGCCGTATTGTGAAGCGTACGCTACAAATTTTCACACTGTGGAGTAAGTTAAACTCGCGAGCTTTTTTGCCGGTGCTATAGAGCACGGAGCGGAGGTAAGCGTCCATCATTACTAAGGGCTATCATGCCTTTGGAATTGGAGCTCTATTCCAAGGAGCGGTCACGGTCCTACGGGTGCTTACGGCCGTCACATCTATCTCCGGCGGGCGAACCGTTCGGAGCAGTTCGACCGGTGCTCTCAACGGTTACAGGGAGCCAGACGAATTGAATCTTAGAACTTCAGGATATTCCGAGACAAGACCCGAGATAGATGGCTTGCTGCCTGGAGACGGACGCCGGTAGCGGACCGACCGCTGACTTGGATGCTGCAAGAGACTAATGTCTGCAACCAGGGAGAGGTCGACTACCTGGCCTCTACCTGGGCCAGGTTATGGGAGCAACCTTCTCGAACCGGTGAGTCCGCGTTGTCGTATTGGAGTATCAGTGAACGACGAGTGGCTGGTAGGGCAATCTTAATTCACTCTTCTATAGCCGACTCAACAGCCCCTTGGAACATTTCTTGCTGGTCAGATCAAGTCGTTGCCGTTGATTGTGGAGATTTTTGGTTGGTGAATATTTACGCGCCTAACGAATAATCCGACCGCGAATGTTTTTTTCACTGAATTACAGAGCTGGCCTTGGTCCCAGCAAGCCACAATTATAGCGGGAAATTTTAGTTGTGTTCAGAGTCCAACGCTTGACAGGCTAGGTGGGACACGGGCGGGACGTCCCGAAAGCGTAGCGCTTCAGACTCTTTTGGAGTCCGCACATCTTGTGGACGCTCGCATTCTCAGTGAGAACGTCAAAGGAGATGGGGAGGAACATGACCCTCTCGATTTTTTTTCACATACTAAGGTCCGGATGTGGCGAGTTGGCTCGATCGTTTTTACGTGCCTCAAGACTAGTCGTCGGTGGTACAATGGGTTTCGGTTGACAAACCTCATGTCCATTCGGACCATCAACGGGTACAGTTAAACTTTGACGACAAGGCCGTGACTCACGTTGCCCGGAAGAATCACCGTCCAATTACTTACCCCATCCGGTCGGCGCAGCCAGTACGTGTTGTAGCTGAGTTACTGGCCATCCTGATAGAAGAAGGGGTAGGACACGGTGCCACGACTTCGACTTGGGACATACCGCTGGAACGTGCCTTTAATGTATAAAGCGGCTCAACATCCGTGCAGTCCCAGAGGCGAAATTTAGTTTTGCGCCGGGTCCAGGCCCAAAGCCGAGCGCATCTTCGGACGCGCAAAGCGCTGATAGACGTCACGGTGGAGGAGGCTCGGGAGGAGCATTCAGTCCGACTAGGCAACCGTCTTGAGCGAACTATGGATCAACTTCGGAGTAACTTTATGCGTGTGTCTTTCTTTGAGAAGGACCAGACCATTACCACTATTCGTCACATCAACGGAGCAGCGTTTACACGCACGATGACGACTGCTGACCGATTTGCTTCGGAATGGCAGCCTATACTGGGAGTCGTGCACCATCGACTACAGCGGCCGCAACTGGAGGCTGCTTTTGATGCATTTGTTCAGGTTCCTGCCAGTCGCTGTCTCTCGGCATTCGACAATGGCATGCTTATATGGGTTATTAGCTTGACTGAAGTGATAACTGCCATTAAGGGCCTAAACCGGCACAAAGCAGCGGGGATGGATGGACTTAATAACGATTTTTTTCAAGGACTTTCAGGCGGTCATGGCTCCTGCTATGGTGGCCATTGGTAACGAGCTACTTCGGGGCGGTCAACCTCCTCCATCCTTTTAAAAGGGTTAATAATTCCTTTGCGCAAACAGGTCGACTCGCAGGATGCGACGGACTACAGTCCGATTGCTATCCTACAATCTGGGTAAAATATCTTCCTCAAGGTCATCCTTACACGCGTGCAACGCTTTTGGGTAAATTATTTGGTGATTCGCCGCAAGGCTTTGTGCAGGGGAAGCAGATGTAAAAGACTGCTATGATGATGATGGACGTCCTCACTACAATTTCGGCCAAGTTCGAGGTGCCTGTGATGAGTATCGAAGCTATTCTCTTGTTGGACTTCTGTAAGGCCTACGATACGGTTGTTCGAGATTATATACTCGTGACACTTACGAGGTTTGGGTTCTCGCCGGAATTTACTACAATGATCAGAAATATTCATACTGGAACCACGGCCCATTTCCTTGTGAACGGGGGAGCTTTCGAATCCCCAAGAGGTGATTTCTGGTAATCGCCAAGGATGTCCACTTGCTCCTTTGTTATTTATTATCGCGGCAGAAGTTCTAGCATTGGCGTTTAATGCTAATGAGCGATCACCGGCATAGAGGTGCCCAACGGAGATGGTGCCAAACACAAAGTCTCGGCTTTCGTCGATGATACAACTGTCTTCCTACATGAGGCATCTCAACTTCCGGCAGTGCTACGGATCGTGGAGCAATTTGGCAAGCTTTCGGGCTTGCAGATGCAACCGCGCAAAAGCAAGATCATATTTCTTAATTTGGAGGTCCATACGACGGAGTTTAACGGTATCCCGGTGGTCCAGCACGGGGATACGACGCGTTACCTGGGCTACTATGTTGGGGCTGGTGAGGTCACGGACACAAACTGGGCAGCGCAAATTTATAACGTACAGCGTCGCCTGGCCACCGCGTCTCAACTCGCCACCAGTGATTCGCTTCGGGTGTTAATTTTGAACGTCACCATGTTACCGTCGATCTTGTTTACGGCGGCGGTCTTCGAGCTTCCACTCTGGGCAGAACTTCAGCTCCGAAATCTCCAGAAGCAATTTCTGTGGAACTTCTTAACCAGTACTGACGCTTCTCGCCACAGGTTGCTCCGACGCTGCTGCAAACACTTCAACAAACGGGTGAGGTCGGGCTGGCATCAATACTGATAGCGTGCAAGACACAGCGGGTGAAAAAGGTCATCCTATGGCTTACACAACGCAAGGAAATATATTTTGAGGCTTGGCAGGCATGGATGTATAGGGGCTTTACGAGGCCCTGGACAGAGGGGGTGTCGCCACTCACCGAAAGAATACGACAGTCATCTCGATCCCGGCGAACTTCGGTACTTATGTGAAGCAGCTCCTCGGGCCGTGGCTGTCCCCTAGTCTGCCGGACATAGTCGAACGACAGCAACGGTACAGGACTGAGTTGGAGAACCTAGCATCCACATCAATCAGTTGGACTACGCCGGGGGAATGGGTGTTGGAGCTTCCACGACCATTGCCTTGCTGTTCCCGGGCCATGACACTAAAACAGGTATTGTTCTGGCCCACGTACTCATGGGCGGATAATCCCTGTGATTACGAACCACCAAGGCGATTCTTTGTCCGCTCGGAAGTATGCCAAAATTTTGCCATGCAGCATAGCGGGGCTGGAGCTGCAACGGACTTGGGTCCAGACATACTCTTTCATCGTACCACCAGCTGAACTGGGCATGCATCAACAGGCCAAACTAAGGCGCTGGGCGATAGCGATACTGTTGAGTGCACCAGCTATGGAAATAGGGGGGTGGTCTGCAAGTGCGTCTGAACCTGCGCCAGAGGCACCCACCCGACCTCGTGAGAGGCTATGACTGGACGTTTCTTTCGCCAGGTCGAATTCAGGGCGTCGTAGCCAATACGAGTATTGAACAGCAAAATGTCATTCTGCTAGATCAGGAGAGCGATGGTCTCCATTAGGATGTTGCAGAAGACAACAGTGAGTATCGTCAGCAGCAGCCGACTGTCAGGCGCCCCGTCAGAGCGCGGCAGCGCGGGGCATTGTCTGTTATGCGCATCCGTTTCTACACGGTCTTCCATGGAGTGTTCAGGACTCAATCGCGAACAAACACGTCCTGATGGCGTTGAAGAAACAGCCGTTTCGATGGTACAAAAGGAGCAGGAAGTACACTAACACAGACGGTGTCAAAACTCGAGCAAGCGGCACGCCGGATTACTGGGCACGCCGGGGCATTAGCCCAGACACCATACTCTCTGGGCACATGGCAAGGAGCTCATGGAGTATCACGTATGGGTCTGCTATCGTGTGGGAGTGCGGCAACTGAACACTTATTTTTCCTGGAAGGCAGCGGGACCCCAGCTGTCGCAAGCTGCAGTGCTGCCAGGGGGAAAAAGAGACTCTCGAACACATCTTCTGGTCCTGCCCATGTGCGCAGGCATGTTGGCAAAAACTTATTTGCCATTGGACGGGACAACGTTGGGAGCTAGGCAATCTCAAGGGATTTCTCCCAGCAAGCGCCAGTCGGCATTCTCCGGAATTACCCTCGGGGGCTTAGAATGGATCGGGCGAGACCACCCTGATGAGGTTCAAGCGTGCGTAACAGTATGGATGCGATTGTGGCGCATACTGAGCAGCGTGTGCATTACAAGCTTATGAATACAGCGCAATCGGGAAATTTTAAATCAGGCGGAAGTTACACTCCACGGTTGCGTCAAGGAATTTTGGCCAACAGGTATGCGGCAGCTCCGGGCAGTAGCGAAGCGGGAGTAGCGGAGGGCCGACACGAAAATTCAAGGAGCGCGTTTGTTAGTATGTCAACGATATTAAGACGGACAACCAAGAGAGCATTCGCTTAGGGCGACTAGCCCCGTACAACCACCGGACTCGTCGAAGAAACCGGCGTTGCTAACCAGGCTTAAGATATATCAGACATCCTGCAACCATTAATGGTTATTCAGACACGTCTGCATCTCTCTCTCTCTCAATTAACAGCTACTGTAAAGTGTCGCCATCAGCACTGGTCAAGCCTTCAATTTTGTAAATAAGATTAAAAAGATAGGATATGATCATGGTAGTCTTTTGAATGGTCAGATATGCTCGATTTTCTTTGCGTACAAGCAGAAAGGGAATTTCTATCCCACAACGAAACAACTATAACAGCAGCACTGTAGTACCAAAAACACCACAAAACAGTAGTAACACCACGATCACCAACTGCAATTGCTAGAGAAGCAGTAGCAAAGAGCTGTAGTAGCAGCAAAAACAACAGCTACTTTGTGTACCAATAACAACAGCAGCAACGACATCAAAGACATTAGCAGCAGCAGCAGTAGTAACACAAGCTACAGTAACAAAAATGACTTACAACAACAACGGCTATAGTCCGTGCGGTAGCAGCTATAACGACATTTGCATCTGATGCAAAAATAGCTATATTTCCAATTATAGCATTTGAGAACTTTATAAATAAAAACTAAACGTTTAGAAAACAACCATCAGAAATAACGACTTTAGTACCAGTTGTCTTCATATACGGCTACGGCAGACGATACAAAGACGCGTTCACATCTTTCCTGTGCCGCCCACGCCCATAACTGGTGGCTGGGAGTGCAGCACCTCCGCAGCAGAACCCCCCCTCCACGGCTCTTCCTGCAGGGCGGAGCGCACAGCCGTACTTTATAAATTTAGATAAAACTAAAAAAAGCTTTATGTGTACCACGTTAACTTGAGCATACAAAGACATGGGGCCCTTTTTTATGTTGTCTTTATCTTTGGATTTTTGTTTCCATCATTTCTGCCAATTTTTCTTTTTCAATGATCTAGCCCTCCATTTTAATATCTTATTATCTGGATCACACTTTTATTTTTGTGAATAAATGCCTTTTCCCCCTACTTATTTGATTATTTAATTTATTTTATCAATACCTGCAGCAAGACGCTACTGACTAAGCCGAAATATTCTTCGCATGACGAATTCGTGGAGGTCAGAGTCACTTACGTACCCCACCATCAAAAAAATATTCCACTATTTCATTAGTTACGGATATTTATGCAGAAGTTGTGACGCAATCATTTCAGCAAAACTTGTAGTAGGTTACGTGTCGTTTTCTGTAGTCTACGTCATGAAACACATGACTCGCGATCCGGCTCTATCGGTCCCAACCGCGTATAAACGACCGTTTTGGACACTGCTTGCTTTGGCTCGTGCCCTTGCTGTGAACTTGTCTATAGTAACTACGTCCCTTGCTAAGAACTTGTCTATGGTAACTACGTACGTCTCGTCATCTTGTACTTTCAGCTTAGCAGGTGCTTTTCGGAGTCAAGCATCACGATTCCTGGGAAGATGCAGGCAAAGGATGTCGTGAAATAGTCGCTGTGCACAAAGCGCCGTAAGTACAAGTCGACTGTAGCTATTGCATCTGACCACCCGATCACAAAGATAGCAGCGGGCTGTATCCTCCGAATTCCAAATCTAGTGACGCCTGCACCTCAGGGTTCCAAGTTGCAATTCAATTCGCACCAACAACCTTTTGCGGCGTCCCCTTCCTTCAATTAGAATGAACGCTCGACAACTCCAAATGACCATCGCGTTTTCGATTGACCACATCAAGTTCATCGGCACGTTGTCTCTTCAACACATCTTCGGTTTTAGACCTTCCAATGCCCATCACTACGTTTGCCATACGCACAACTACAATCAAAGCATTTGGCCACTCCCTGCCGCGGTTTGATCCACGTTCTTGAGCTCGAAAGTCATGAGCTTCTTTTGCTGAAGGCGGTCAACCAACTTGCGACCAAAGGCGCTGGCCGGCGTGTAGAAGCCACCTTCGAGACATGTGGACTCACCGAACTCGTCCTTCGCGAGGCAGAACGCACACTCCGATACAAGTCGCGACGTGAGATAATAGCCGGGGTCTCCCGACCCAGCAACTTTTGTCCGCACCGCTACCTTGCCGTCATCCGTGTACCCGACGGCATCCGCGACGAAATAGCCTTGCAACATCGACTCCTCCGATGGCCCCTGGCCAGGAGCCCGCACGAGACGCTTTAGCAACGCACGGGTCCAGCCAAAGTACAGTGCAGTGGCCACGATGATCGTCCCGATAGTTACAAGCACTTGCGTGAAGAACCCGCCAATGGCCATTCGCTCTCGGTAGACAAAGTTATTGCCGTACTTGTTCTGCAGAAGGTAGTTGCTACGGTGCACGATAGCCTGGTTTATCGGCCCACCGATAAACAGCGAATGCCAAGTGCGCACGATCATGTCGTAACGCACGAGGATGCCACTCGCATTGGGCTCGACAAGACCTGCTGCCTTCTTTCCAGCAATTGTCTTCTCGTCCGTCAGGAAGAAGGGATTGCGCGAAGCCCGCAGCTGTTCAGACGAAGACGTGTCCATGATTGCAAACGCTGATGCGAGAGTGCCCCCACTCGGTTCGCCCTTCATGCCAGTGAAGTAGAGGTCAATGACGCCCGTACTTGAATGATGGTTGTGCCGGATGTAGTCGCTCATTAAGAACGTCGTGAGGTCCGATGGAATGCTCTCAAATCCGCAGCAATTGACCAATACAGCGCCTGTTTTAGCAGCCGAAGAGGCGTAGGCAGCGACCATCTCTTCGACCCAGATGATCTCTCCCGTCAGGTCACAGTAGTGCACCCCCGTTCTCCGCACACGCTTTGATCAGCAACTCGCCGTAGAGTTTGTACGGACCCACGAGCGACACGACCACCTTCGTCTGCTGCACCATCTGGACGAGCGATTCTTCATTGCTGCTGTCAGCGACAACCACTGGAATCGCATCAATCAGTGCGGGGTCCACCTCTGGCAGCTCCGTCTTGAGCTGCTCCTTCACTTGCGTCAGTTTAGTTGCGCTTCGAGCAGCCAGCGCCCACTTGATAGCCGACGGGTTGCCGACTGCCGACTCGGATTCTGCAGCCACGTATCGAGCCACTAGCGATCCGGTGAAGCCAGTGGCGCCATAGACGACGACGTCGAAGCGTTTGTCCGTCACGTTCCTGGTCGATGGCATGCTTGCGTGTCAAAAGATGTTGTGAGACTCGAAAGGAAGGAAGGCTCGGATAATGATGACGAAACATTGAAGCTGATGAAAAAAAAGTAGATGCGCGATGCGTCCAGTCGGTATACCGGAGCGATATCGGTGCTGGAAAGATCGGAGAGTTCGAATCGGGTCGAGCCACGATCGATCATGATTAGTGATTGGACGAATGAGCGGAGGCAAAGAGGATGACGACTGGACATTACCCATCGAAGTAGTCAGTCTACGGGTAGTTTCTGGCAGAATCCCGTAAATACCATCTCATGCTGCTAATATCGGTCGAAACGCCACCGTAAGCGCACGGGAAAACGGAGCTCGTCTGTATTACCAGGGAGAAACAGGTCAGAGTCGAGTCGAAAGTTCCTGGTCATGTTTGAGGCGAAACCTTCGGCACGACGACTATGGGCGCTCACCCGTATACTTAAGAGCAATTAACTTCACGCGTGTTCTAGAGGGCTGCATCACGAAGTTCGCATCCCATTTGACAATGTCACTACCGAACTCTGCTGCCTCCTGTTACAGCACCGTGTGCATCACGCACATCACACAATCACAAGTTCGAGGACTGAATGCCTTGCCAAGAAGCTCACTTCAGCACGAACAGTGCAATGCCATCTATCACTCACTCTATTTACAATGCTCCTGCCGAGCACAGCATGTCCATGAGCTTCCCGGACTGGAACAAAGCCTGTACGTCGGTGCCACCACCAATCGACTCCTTTTTGATAAATACATTGGGCACCGTTCGACGGCCTGCAGCAGCAGCAAACTTTCTCAGCCTAACCGTGTAGTAGCACAAGTTTTCATTTGCCAGCGTACCAGTTGCGGTTGCCAAGGCATTCTGAACCTCGACGCCTGTAAACTTGTCAACATTCATCGCGTCCAGCTCCACTACATGGTACTGGACACCAGCTTCATTCAGCACACCCTTGGCCTGTGTAATTACACATCGTTACGTTGTTTTTCAACACAAAATATATAAAAAAATAACATTTATAAATAAAATGTAAACGAAATTAATCAGCACATGACAAATCACATCCATTGCATGTTAAGTTAATTTTCCGGGCACCAACCCACGCACCATATCGCAATATGGACAGTACGTCTTGCCAAACACTGTGACGCTATGCTCCGTGGTGACGCGGTCGACGAACTCCCGCGCCGCCGCTTCCGTCTCCCGCGAACCTGCAGCTCCCATCGATGCAATGGACTGAAGTCAGCTTTAATTATGTATGCCACACAAAATGTACGAGAATGATAGCTGCATACTTTCGCGACCCGCGGGTTCACGGGTCCCATACAATGAACAAGTAGACTGGCGGTTATTCTCGCCATTGGTGGGTGACTGACTGACTGGCTGGCTGGTCGGACACTTCCCAGTGATCCCTTTTCTCTCCCCCTCCCTTCTGGACGCGTCAGAAGCCGCAGCTGCCAATGAACAGCGACGAGAAGGAGTTTCTGCGTGAATGGCTGATCCTCAACCTCGAGCCAGTGTATGCGTCGTAATCGACTATTTTTTTATATTTATCTTGGATGTTTCGACCAATTTATTTATAGTTGCGGAATATGTGCAATAAATTTATACTAACTTACGGAGGTGCTCGTAATTCGTACTTATTACAAACCTATGCATCTCTTTCTCGAACAGAAGCGACGCCGACCCGGAGGTGCTGAGCAAGTACGTACTGGCACTCGTACAGCAAGATCCACGGAAACCGGGACTGCAGGACACGTGCGTGTCGAAGCTCGACGAGTTTTTAGGCGAAGGTGGGTTGGGTGTTTGATTTATGTGTAGTATAAGTTTTTACGAGTTTCTCTTTTTGTACAAAATTGGATAAATGTTTGTCGACTGACTATCATGTCGTGTTTACTTGTGTACAATAATATGCAGAGACCACAAGTTTTGTAGCAAAATTGTTCAAAGCACTGGCGGACGGCTCGTATAAGGGCTGCGGGATAAAAAATGGAGGGCCAAGTGACGAAAAGTTACGTGCTGTGAGGAGCTATGACGACGACAATAGTCGACAATACGAGCGCAATCTCGCGGTCAGTGACGACGAGCAGCGACGATTTGCCAAGCGCCGTCGTGATGACGATCGACCTCGAGAGAGTGACTTTAAGCGACATCAGGGCAGTCCGCGGAGAGACGGCAGTTATAATCGACGCCAGCCGTACCCATTGCATGACCCCGTCATGCACACTAGCCCCATAGGTGGGCGTGGAGTGGGACCTTATGGCATGGGTGGCGATCACCGTCGAAATTTTCCGATGGAGTGGGGTATGCCACCACAAGGGATGTGGCCACCACATTTTCCGCCGCCTCGAGGCGCGGGCTACCCGCCAGAGTTTGATCAAAATGGATATGTGGTGGAAAAAAGCAGCATGATGCCTCCACCGCACATGATGATGCCGCACCCGATGGGCGGTCGTGGTCAGTTTTTTGCTCCTGGAGGGCGCGGAGGGAGGGGAGGACCTGGTCAGTACTATCCTGGACGTGGTGGTAGAGATAGGGACAACGGCGATGTACCAACGGCAAAGACGACGCTCTATGTTAGGCATGTTGACCCAAAGTACGTCAACATGACCATGTTGAGTCTGCATTTCTCCAAGTTTGGCAACGTGGTAAATGTGCAGATGCGCCCCAGCGCCAAATGTGCTTTTGTTCAGTATGCAACTGAGGAAGAGGCAAAGAAGGCTTTTCATTCACCTCTTCCTGTATGCAACAATCGCTTTATTTCAGTAAAATGGGCTAAGCATGATACTCAGAGCCCAGGAGAAGCAGGCGACGTTGGACATGCAGACGATGCATCGAGAGAGACGCCTGGGGTAAATGGCGTGCCTGCCGACAGTGCCGCTACAGTTAAGATCGGAGGCGAAGCTGACGACGAAGGAGAATTGATAAATGCGAAATCCGAGAAAAGTATGACGACCGAGGAGCTGCGTGTGGCAGCATTAGAAAAAGGTCGATTAGTTTTGGAACAAAAGCGCGAACTGTTGGAAAAGCAGCGTACACTCAAGAAGCAAAAGGAGGAGCTGCTTAAGCGGCAATTATCCCAGCAGAAGGAGCTATTGGAGCGAATGAGTTTCAGCAGCTCGCAGTTTTCGTTAGTGGAAAAGCGTGACTTGCTGAATAAGATTACTGCGCTATCTGAAGAGCTGAAGGCATTGACTCCTCGCCATTCTGCTGTCTCTCCGAACGCTGCAACGCCGCAAGCTATCTCAGGCCGTGAAAATTTAAATGGCCTAAAAGAAGAACTCAGTGCATTGGAGGCCGAGGCGTCAGGGGGCTCTGGAGGTCGCGGGGGGCGGTGGTCTGCTGGTCGCGGCTACCGAGGGGGTCGAGGCGGTCGAGGCCGAGGAGGTTACGGTCGTGGCTCGCACGCGCTAGACAACCGCACGACAATCGTAAAAGTAGCAAACTTGCCGGAAGAGGCATGCGACCCCGTCGTGCTCACACAGCATTTTGGCAACTTCGGCACAGTTGAACGAGTCGTGATGGACGAGTCATTTCCAGGCCTGGGGTATATCAAGTTTCAAGATCGGTATGCTGGTCAAGCCGCTTTGAGTCACGGTAATGTGTTTGCCGATAAGCAGTTGGAGATGGCGTGGGTCGAGTCTCACGACGCGCCGGCAGAGCTGACGCGAAGCGATTCACCGAAAGAAGCAGCAGTGTCGACTGCAGACAGTGGTGCTACTGGGCTGGGCGACCAGGTACGGTTTGCGGAAATCGTGTGTTGTCTTTGTGACAGACTAACTCACTGATTCTTTTGTTTATCGGATAGGTGTCTGCATGTGCGTAGAAGCCAGCATTGCCAAGCGGATTACTGCTATCGTCATGAGAGCAGCAATCGACTGATTTGATAGACGGCACACCATTAGCATAGCTTGAAGCGAGGATGTCAGGATGCCTGCAAAGTATAGTCTGCCAAACTACAGTAAATGAATCCAAACATGGCATCAGGGACTGTGCATAGCATTTGCTACAAACCTTTAGGGTCCTCCCTTCACGCGGAATACCAGCACTTTATACTGACTGTTATGACGCATGGCTCAGGTCGTGAGCTTACGTCAGAGCTGATTACGCGTATTATTGCGAATTACAAGCACGATTACAGGGGCTGTACAGTTGGTCATTTCCATTTTAACTTGCAAAACACCAGCGGCTCTGTTGGTGTTTTTTAGAGACGAAAAGCACGTACCCAACAACAATGTAGGTATCCAGCTAGCGATGGCTCTTCATGGCCACCCCTCCACTTGTCCACGTGACAATTTTCCACCTTGGTGAATATACCGCAAGCACTTCCGATTCTACCGGCTTCAGTTCAATGTCGGAATCTGTGGAAGTCGAAACGGGATGGCAACAACGCAGAGGCTAGTGCTCTTCTTGCCGTGGTTGTCGTACTTCATCATAAATCACAACTTCCATTATAATAAAATAAGCAAGAGTCATTAAAGGGTACAAACATTTGCACCTGCCACATTCATCGCTCGATCTGTCTGGCTTGCCTTCTGCATGTACACTACACTGCCAATTGCCGTATGAAATCTTCGACGTGAGCGATGATGCAGCAAGACCAGAATGTTGGGATTACGCAGGAAAAGCGAAAATCGACGACAGCCACGGTGCAGGCGAAGAATACGCTACCATCACCGTTGATAATAACATTATATTGTTCTGCCGTTGCGTTGAGAGACTTGGTGCGGTAGCTAACTGTGTATATACAGTCTTCCCTCTGCTAAGTTATAGACTTGGTGGAAGGCAAATCCTATAACATAGCAGAGGTTATTCCATAGCAGAGGTATGCTGCGGAAAAATTATTAATTTAATTAATTAAAGAATCAAAAACGCAACAAACCTCCAGGCTTCCAAAACCTGTCTGTCACGTGTCACGTGCCCTATGAAGATTTTGTGATTTTGGTTGCCCCACCAGTCTCTGGTGATATTGCTATCTCTAATTAAGAAGTTCCACCAACTGTACCTTGCTCACTCACAACAGATGTCGCAGATACGTCTTACCAACGAGCAGAAGCTGCGCATCTGCAAGCACCAGGATGCTAACCCGCGCATCACCCAGACTGCCCTGGCGGCTTGGACAAAGGACGCCTTTGACCTCCAGAAGGCACTTTCCCAGGCAGCGATCAGCGAAATCATCAAAAAAAGGAAGGAGCTTGAGGCAATGGACACCACTGACCTCAGCGCTAAGCGTCCTCGGACTGTCCAGCACCCAGCTGTGGAGGAGGCCGTCGCCTTCTGGGTCTTGCAGTGCCAGCACCGTGGGGTCGCTCTCACTGGAGATCTCATACGGGCCAAGGCTCAGACCTTTGCGGGATCAATGGGCGTCTCGGAGGAAAACATCAGCTTTTCGCATGGGTGGCTCCACAAATTCCAGCAACGCCACAAACTGCGAGCTGTCCGCATTCATGGCGAGAGTGGCTCAGCAGATATGGGCGCTCTAGAGGAGGCTCTTCCACACCTCAAGGCCGTGGTTGCTGGTTATGCGCCACGTGACGTGTACAACATGGACGAAACTGGTAGGTCTGAGAATACAGTACAGTACTGTACTCATTGTACAGTACAGAAGCATCTCAAAGGCTCACTTTCTGTTCAGGTTTGTTCTACAGTATGACGCCCGACAAAACGATCGCTTAGCAAGAGGTCAAAGGGTTTAAAAAAGACAAGGTACATTATTGCTCTCCTCTTGGTTTCCTGCGTTTCTCTGACACTAACAACTATTCTAGACGCGCATCACAGTTGCTCTCACGGCAAACGCTGATGGATCCGACAAACTCCCGCCGGTCTTCATTGGACACGCCAAAAAGCCGCGGTGTTTTGAGCGCAAGACAGCTGAGCGACTGGGCTTTCTCTACCGCAACAACAAGAAAGCCTGGATGACTGGCATACTCTTCCAGGAATGGCTGGGAGACGTCGACAAAAGTATGAAGGTAATTTGGGGCATGCCTTGAACATCATCGTTGTGGTACAGTAAAGGAGGTTTGACTAACGCGTTGACCACAGCAAAAGGATAGAAAAATCCTGCTTCTCATGGACAACGCCCCTTCACACATTATTGCTGACCTGGAACTCACCAACATCACGGTCCAGGTTCTTCCTCCTAATACCACTTTAAAGGTCCAACCCATGGATGCTGGGATTATTGCCGCATTCAAGAGGCACTACCGCCGGCTGCATCTGCAGAATGCCTTGGACCGTGACGAGCGCGGAGAAACCAACCTTTACAAGGTTGATCAGCTCACGGCCATGCGTTGGTCGCTGGCTGCGTGGAGCGAGATTTCCAGTGCCACAATCGCCAACTGCTTCCGTCATACGGGACTCATGGACGGTCCGGCTCTGCCGACTGGTGGGGGTGAAAACGAAGCCGGCACTGTTGGCCAGCAGGCCCAGCAGGAGGCAGCAGCTGCTGCAGTAGAGGAGCAGCGCGTGGAACAGGATATTGTTTCGGCGCTGGAAAGGCTCCCGCTCCGCAATCCCATGTCGATCGCTTCTCTTCTCAATCCGGCTGAGGAGGAGGAGACGGCGCATGCGGAGCTGACCGATGCCGAAATCATCAAGCTTGTTGAGGATCCGTATGGGAAGGAGGAAGGTGCTGCTGAGGCGGAGGAGGAGGTGGAAAAGCATTCGAAGGCTGAAAAGCTTGCCAGCCTTAGTCTATCCATCGCCCTTCTCGACCTTTCTCAGGAGTCCCATCGTATAGCTCACCGGACCCTTCGCCAAGTCCAAGCTGATCTCCGTAGTGCGAGCACCACTCAGGCCACACTTGATTCCTGGCTGAAGTAGTTCCCTCTCCTCTTTCCACTCCTTTCTTGCAGTGAATAACAAAAAAAAGGTTCTGCGTACAATATTTCTGCTCACGGCGGACAAAAATATTCCCTCTGATAAGTTGTATTTGGCCCTCAGGCTATTCCGTATAACTTATTCCGTAGACACCATAGAACGAGGTCGGTGGAGACCGAATCCTATAACTTACCGGAGGTTATTCCATAGCCGGGGATAACTTAGCAGAGGGAAGACTGTAACTCTTAAGCGCTACCCGTGTTAAATCAATTTTTGAATGATTTCGACCATACGAAAATGACTACCGCTTCCCGCTTCGATACAATCTCGTACCCCCCACAGCCCAAGAATGAGAAGCATTGTCGTGTATTCGATCAAAAAGGGGGATGCTACAGAGCACTCACTTCTCGCTTGGGAAACCGCGCCTATAGTCTTTGATGCTTCCGATTGGCTTGGATAGCTCAGAACGCGTTTCACGTAATATTGCACCGCGTTGCACCCTGCGCCAGTGTAACGGGGTTCCACGGTGTTAATTGAACCGATTATGTTGTGCGTCCACACCAAGTAAAGATAGGCGGATCTGAGTGGTACAGTATGGTACAATGTACTTACGGTAATACCGCACCTTATTGGTTAGGGATAAAGGATAAGACATCTGTCGTAGGATCGTAATTAGAGCCAGTCCTGCAGGTGTTTTACACCATTAGGCTAAATGGGTAAAACTCTGTAATGAAGAAGTCAGACAAGGTTTTATGGTTTTATTACCTTAGCTAAAGAAAAAATAAAGTTCAGTTCCCCTTTTGAAATGCTGTACACAAGTGCCTTTATAAGGCGCAGTGTGTTGTAAGAGAATTAGCCTTGTAAAGGCGCCTACTCTTGTTAAATTATCAGTTAGTGGTGATTCTGCAAATCGTAATCCCTTTGAAACCGGATTGTTAAGCTAGTACGCTTATACGACAGTACGTCGTTGTTAGTTTGTTATAACTAAGGACTCTTTGAGTCTAAGACTTCAATTGTCAAGGAGCGATAAGTAGATCCGCTTCATCCAAGTATTATCGTAAACCCATGTGTTTTCACTACCCAGTCTGTTTTACGAATTTGCAGGAATTATTTATATATGTGGTGTATTTGTTTGTAGAAGCACCCCTCCTTTGTTATTGATTGTAATTTTGCAAAGAGCAAAAAATATATGTAGTTGACCTACACAGCTCTTAATTAGAGGAACACTTACGACTCTAGAAGTCACTTAGTGCTACAAACTTAAGTTCTTATTAGTTAAGAGATTCTCTAGGTCTAATAGCTAATCAAAGAAGACTGGAAAAGATTCGTCATGATCGTAGAGCTTCTAGTCCTGGTCCAGTAGATAAGAATGATTCTAAAAGCTTATGCACGAGGTGCTCTAGAGCACTCGCCACAATAATCCTCTTATTCTCTGCGATCTGCCGAAGTCTTAACTCGACACGTGTCAACAAAAGATCAACAGGACTATCATTTTGTTTCTATGTTTTACATGTGATAAACCTCACAGAACTACCTGATTAAAGGGTATAATTAATTCGCATAGTAACTCTTGATATTCAAGAGATGGATGGATGGTACATTAAATTGTGATCAATGGATGATGGAGGTTATCAGCCACATCAGTTATCAAAGATAAAACTTGGGACTGTTTATCACATACGCAAGGTATATTCCTTCCAGGTATAACGTTCGTGTGACCCCGTTACACCTGAAGATTAGTATGACCGATCCAAACGTACTTTAAGTCCAACGCATAGTCTTATGGATAGATATCACTTCGTGATTTATATAAATTCTCCGCCATCGCTGCTCGGTAAGTGAGGAAATAAAACATTTCTATGTTAAGAAAAATACTTACAGAAATTGTCGTCATCACCAATATTCATATATGGTAAAGTAAAGCGGGTGAATACGGGTCAGAGATCTCGTAGGAGTATGATACGTAACGGGCCACCCCGTTACATAATTCTAACTGGTTAGTTTACATGCTATTCTAGTAGAAAAGCTGCTACCAAATTAGCGGCTGTAGCACGTCGTATTTCTAGCTATGTGGTTGTTCCATTTTTAATTAGTAAGATATCGATACATTGATCGAGTGGTCCCCGTGAGTACAACTGAACCAGTCGAACTTAGGATGGAAAAAGACAAACATATAAACAGATTAAAATTTTCTTGATATCTGATATCTGGGCTTAGAGCTTCCTTAAGCATACGCGTTAGCTAAGTACGGGTTGTTCTAGCCCCGTTACATAATTCTTATCTTTTTTAAAGGGACCGCCTAGGCGTACACCCCCTAACAACTACGCGCCCCCCCCGTGATATCGAAAAAAAATCTCCCACTAAACGTGAGCTATCCTCCATATGACCCTTTTATCTCTCTGTTTCTTGCTCTACCGGCAATGCTAGCACCACCTCTCAAGCATACTTATCCTTCTCTTGATGATGCTCAGTTGGAAGTAGAGCGGTTTGTACTTGACCAAAGCTACGCTGTGGGGGTCAGCACCACAATTTTACCCCATGAGTATGTCCATTCAAGGCCAGCACTGTAATTACTCACCGCACAGCGAGAAACCCCACAAAATATTAGCCATCCGCTCCAAAAAACAGCCATATCCATGTACTTTTCATCGCCCTTCAAGCGGCCGAATAGCGTTACTTGTGCCAACCTGTTGTCTTGCTCCTCCGGACCTATTATCTCATCTACATACAATCACAAGTAATACCATTCACACGTGACTCCCACAGCCTACTATGCCAAACCATTTAAAAAGAGCTCCTACCTTCACTCCCGTAAATCTTCAGATTGACATACTGAACATCTAATCCGTCCTACTCCCTACCAGCCCAATCAAATGTCCAGTTGATACCTCCCGTTCCCTCACCATCACCCCCACAGCACAACCACAACCGCAACCACTTGACATCGTGCAGATACGTGTCGCCGCCTGTCGCGTCAATCACGAGCCCACATTCACAACAGACCCCGAGCGCGTGCCGATAATCGATTGCTCCATCACCACCGACGGCGCGTGACTCTTTCGACTGGAAATATGGATCTCTTAGCTAATAAACAACAGCACAGAAAAAGAGAGACACACTAGAGCGTAAGCACGGGCTACGCCGCAGACGGGACATCATACCACGTACATAGACGCGAGCGGGGCGCGCAGGTGTAAAAGCGGTGCGCTCTTGAGGCGCGTCGTGTACGGCAGCGTGCGCTCGAACAGCTGCCAGCGCGCGGCGTCCCAGCGCAGCAGCTTGCGGCCGCCCGAGGTGGCGTGCTTGCGCTTGGCTGCGCGCGTGGCCGCGTCCTCGCTGTTCATGCTGTGGCTTCAACACAGTGTAAAAGAGAGTGATGGTCCCTTGTGGCTTCTTCCGCGCGCTAACACTCGGTTGCTGGTCAGCGCGAGAGAAAAGAATAAACCTCATTTACAAAAAACGAGAGGGTACACAGAAAAATTAGACGATTACACACAGTGTGTTGTGTGCGCGCAGTCATTAGGGGGTGTACGCCTAGACAGCCCCTTTTTAATTTGCCCATACGCCGTTGATTTTTTATATACCAAGGTCTGCTGTTTCAGCTTGAAATTCCGGGCACTTCTCACCTGTTTTTGTGGGATTAATCAATTCCGTAGCCTATTTTTTTCCCGGACTCGCGTCTACATGAGTGGTCGAGGCACTTAAGTGCCGATAGAGGTAAAAGAAAAGGGTATTTATACCGAACGCAACTAGCCTTTGTCATTTTAATTCTCAATTATGCAGAAAGTGTACTGTTTACGACGAGCATCAATCAAACATTGCGTGTCTCATAAATCCCCCATTCGGCCTTAGCGCCG